TCTCACTATTCCATACATTCAACATCTTATCAACAATTCTCTTTTTAAATTTTCCCTTCATGTGTTCCCCCTCTCTATACTCGCTGCCCCGTATTGGTCCAGGTCGGTGTCGTTTCTCACTTGTGTTTCTGTGATAGCCACTAGACGGGCTGCCTGCCCTCATTATTGCCTCACTGTGATGTTTATTTTGTTTTCTCTGCAACAGCCAGAGTGATCCTCCTAAAATAGATACCTGATAATATCATTACCAACCAGGTTTAAAACACTTCAGTGGTTTCCTCTAGAGCCAGTAGGACAAATATACTCCCGAACATGATTCCTTTCATATCTGGTCTCTGCTTAGTTTTCTGCCATCATTTATGACAACCTCCCTCTTCATAGACTATTCTCTGTGTGTACAATTTTCTCTGCTGTTTCTGTCATCTTGCAGATATGTTCCTTCTATCTGAGACAATCCTGGTTATTCTTCAGGTCTTAAAGTGTATTTTATGTCTTCTGAATAAAACTTATACTAATTCCTTCAAGTGCATTTCTTCAGTGCACTATTCCCCACTGCATGGTTTTTGTTTTGTTTTGTTTTATATATTTTTTTATTTCAGCATATTACGGGGATACAAATATTTAGGTTCCATATATTATCTTTGCTCCAACCAAGTCAGAGCTACAAGCGTGTCCATCCCCCAGATGGTGCTCACCGCACCCATTAGGTGTGAATATACCCATTCCCTCCCCCCACAACCCGCCCGACACCCGATGAATGCTACTACTATATGTGCACATAAGTGTTGATCAGTTAATACCAATTTGACGGTGAGTCCCTGTGGTGCTTGTTTTTCCATTCTTGCAGCACTTCACTTAGTAGAATGGGCTCCAGCTCTATCCAGGATAATACAAGAGGTGCTAGAAGTAGAACTACCATTTGACCCACTGCATTGTTTGTAAACTCTTATTTTTGGTTCTTTTTGTGAAGTTTAATAATTGTTCTATTCAATTGTCAGAATGTCCTTGCAGACAGTAACCACTGTGTAGATAGAAAGCATGTGACCTTAATATCCCCTAATCTTCCACAATCCATAGGGTTAGTGCTTAGAACATATATGATAAATGAAAATATAAATGGTGAATGACTGATTGCTAGAAGAATAGAGAAAGTTACTTAAGCTTTAGTCTGAAGTATATTGGATTGAGAATACATAGAAAGAGGCCTTAGACTTAGCAATAAAGAAAGATTATTCTTCTACGAAGAGAAAGAAAAGAGAAATTTGGAGGTGAAGGAAGGAGAAGCAAGGAATTATTACTAAATATTGTGTGTCTTATCAGTGCTGCCGATAACAAGGCAATCTTTGGAGAGTAAAGTAAGAGATGGCACAGTTGTTGATTTGAGGAAATCAGGGCAATTTTAAACCATTGCTTATAATAAATCTGTATTGAGCCACTGGAAGCAAATAAAACATTTTCCTTTGCAACACTGGGATTCTTGTTTAAGGAAAAATAGCTTGAATTTAAAGCACATCCATTTGCTGGAATTATATGGCCTCTTTCATCCTTGCTTAGGCAAACGGACAAAGGAAATAAGTGCTGGAGTTTTATAAGACAGGTACAGTGGAAATTCAGGTGGCCAAGAAATTTGAAGATTATATGGAAGACAACTGGAATGATTAATTAGAATGTAAGGTTAGATAAAGAGGAGAGTCATCAATGAGACTAAGGCACCCAAAGAATAAGAGAGAGAGGCAAAAGGACAGAATGGAAGGAGGAAGGGGAAGGCAAAATTTGTGGAATTGAAGCAGAAAATGTATAGTATGCAGAGGTTTTGACCAAAGAAAAGATTTTCTAAATGTGAAATGTTAGAAGAATGGCTCCTCTTAAATTTTTAGAAGAAATCAACTAAAATTTAGTGCTATTTTATTTGGAAATGAGAAGGAATGTTTTTCCAAGTCTAAGATAGAACCTAAATTTCTTGAAGGCAGGTTACATTAAATTGACAGTGCTTTTGTTCTACATTAATAAATTCAGTTTTCAATTTCTATGTATACTTTTGTTTTTTGGCTGCACCTGAGACATCTCCATGTTTATAGAAACAGATTTTGAAGAAGAGACTGGAACTGAAGGCCCCTCGACAATGAATGTACTTGATAATTTGCCCGAGTTATTTGCCGCTAGAGTCCACATTTGTAAGATAATAATTATCTTACAGTTGATTGATAATACCTTCTCTCAGGCCCAAACACCAAGTTAAGAGGACATAAGAATCTATAAATATAAAATATTGTTTTCTTTGTAGTCACTTTTGTGCTACCAACGTGGCTTTTGCTAAATCGTTGATTTCTGAGAACAAGGAACATATTACTCATTCTGTTTTTACATGATATCTTGTACATATTTGTGATCCAATAAAGGTAGTTGGATTTAATTACTTGAAATTCTTTAAGTTATCCAAGTGTCTGTATGAACAAGTACACTAATTTGGGAGGTAATAGTAGAACAAATTCTTCTTCCATTGTTCCAGAGGTAGAAGAATGTATGATATTTTATTTTAATTGTATAGTTAGATTATAATGAGGTACCCAAACTCAGCATGTGATAGAGGCTTCCTTTCAGTATCACAATACTGATAATAAAATAATACACTGGTTAACATTTTACAAGGTTGTTTCACATGCCTTAAGCTTAAAAAATTTGTTCTTATACGAACTATGTATGAAACACAAGATGAATAAAACCCAGTTTATGTTATATATGTGCACGTGCGTGCGCACACACACACACACACATGCATGCATTTCTAGGAGGCTAACTTTATGTGGTAGTAATTCTTCAGTTTTGATAATAATTCCTAACATGTCACATTAATTATTCTGCTCACTATTCCTCATAAGTATGTATATCTAAATATAAGTATGCATATGAACAAGTAGAAATTTATGAACAAAAGCAAGCCTTGCAATAATTATTAAGGTTAAAGTAATGTATTGTTTTATGTATCTTTTTTAAAAATCTGGTTTTAAGCAATTCTATTTTAAAGTTATCATTCTCCTACTCTTGTTAACTGGCACACTGAACTTGAAATCTGAATAGGTAATATTTCATATGTTTTATGTTACTTACAGAGTCTGTATAATTTTCCTGAAAAGGATAGTAAAGTGTGGCCCTGTGAAATATACTCAGTGCATAGTCCCAGAGCAAACGTTAAAAGGTTACAAGCATAGAACACAGGATAATGATAATTATTCACAGGTGTAAAGATCAGGACTAAATAACTTGGATTGTACATGGATAAAGCCAGTTTCAGGCTTCTGATCTCTTTCTTGGTCTCTTAAGAATGGCGCTGACCTACATGTGTATTATTTCGTTGTTACCTTGATAATGTAATACACCATGGGATAAAGGTAGATCATTGTAAGAATTTAAATGTCTGCAATGTCCTAGGTTCTTTCAGTGAGATAAATTTCAGCTTCATAGCACATTACACATTAAAGCCATGAAGCTATTACATATTTTTATATAGTTCATATAAGCTACAGCTATCTCAACCCAGTACTTACAAAATTATTTTTGAAGTGGGGCCCTAAATATCGCTGATATACATTCTACATAACCTAGGCAGAGTCGTCTTTCCTCTTTGTTCTTTTTTTTTCTCCTTGCACAGATATTCACTGACTGCTCATCATGTTTTAAGCTCTAGGGTCACAGCATCAAACAAAACATGCCAGGTCCCTGTTCTCATCAAACTAATGATCCATTGTGGTGATGAGGGAGATGAACAATAAGCAAATAAAGATTAGATAGATGAGTGGATAGATAGATATAAATAATAGAGAGACAGGGAGATGTATCATATCAGGTATTAAATAGTGTGCGGAAGAAAATTAATGCAAGGAAAAAAAAAGAGGGAATGACCAAGAGCAAGGTTTTCAGTGCTTTAGATAGGGTAGTCAATATCGATCTCTCTGATAATGCAGTATTTGAACAAAAATCTGAATAAAAATAGGAATCCAGCTTTGAAGATACTTGAGGGCAGAGAATTACAAAGGGTGGAAAACTCTGAGGCAGGACTGAGAAGGCTTGACATGTCTGAGGACCAGGAAGGGCGTTGTCATTGCTGGCTGGGAATCAGTCAGGGAAGGAAGAATAAGTAGGAAGAAAAAGCATGAGAAACAGCAGGGACAAGATCATAAATGGCTCTGGTTATTGAAAGGATTTTGTATTTTATTGTGAATTGGAAAGATATTGGATGGTTTGAAGAGGGAGTGATATATCAGAGGTTCATTCTGGCCGTTGTGTGGAGACTAAGGTTGGCAAGGTAGAAACGAGAAGACTAATTGGGAATTGATTGTAATAATCCAGACTGGCAATGGTTTCCTGGGAAGAGGAGGCAGTGAAGGATGTGTTAAGACATGATGATAAATAGGGATATGCTGATAGATAGAATGTGCGGTATGAGAGAAAGCGAGAACTCAAAGGTGACTCCAGGGTTTTTTGCCTGAGTCCCTGGTAAAATGACAATGCCATTTACTGCGAAGGGGAAAAACAGGAGAGGATATGTTATTTTGTCTTACATAGATCTCACTTTTCTCTTCCCACCCAGTCTTTGCTGAAAACTGAAATAGACCAATTCGTAGTTCGATTTAAATTATTTTATGCTTAAAAGGAAGAATAACAGTGATGACAGCAATAAGTAACGTTCGATAGTACTTACAGTTTGCAAAATATTTTAATATCCAGTAACACGTTTGCAATATGTGATCAGACAGAGAATTTCTGTACCTACTCCTACCTTTCCAAACAAAACGGGTACATTTTTCTGGGGATCCTAGGTAATTTGGAAGGTATTTTATAATGCATAAAGAGCAGTTAACATGTACTGAAAAAAGTGACTAAAGAAAAATTAGTTTCTTGAAATATATCAAATAAGAGTTAAGAGAAAGTAAAAACAGACTGTAATGGATGCTATATTTATTACATTGCAAATTAATACATATGCTATAATTTTCTCTCAGATCCAAGGTTCATTAGTGCCCACCTCATCCCAGAGAGTGACAATCCTGAAGATGACAAAGTATATTTTTTCTTCCGTGAAAATGCAATAGACGGAGAACACTCTGGAAAAGCTACTCACGCTAGAATAGGTCAGATATGCAAGGTGAGGTAAAGAAAACAAATGAGAAGGATGCCATTGTCCGATCACAATTTCACTTCATTTTATTTTCCATCTATGTGCATATACAATAAAAAAGCTGAAACTTTCACTAATATTTAAATGGTAAAAAATATTGAAAATTATAGTTGGTTATGAATAACTTTTCATAGTCAAACATGCAGGTAGAGGTTGTGAGGTAACTGGCATTATTTCACAATTACGTTAAATGATCTTGGTTTGAAATTCTAGAGTACTAAAATGCCTTCATTTTACCTGGGAGAATATATTACAATTTCCTACACCTTGTATGTTTTGAATGAATATTTGTTGTTGCTAGAATATGTAAGTATTAATTTAAGAAAGAAAAACATTAAAGTCCATTTTTACAAATTAATTATAGCACCTATGTACACATGTACTCACATACATAATTTGGAGCTCTGAGCTTTATTTGGGGTGTTTCATTTATTGTGTGGTGTGCCATCATGTAATATTGCATTACAATGTTAGATATACTAAATAAAAATTACTCAATAATCATTTATGAATCAATTATTATCATCAGTGGGAAGATAGTACAGTATATATGCAATGTGAACAAAGTCAACTGTTAGTATACGTTAAAGCACCTTTCAAATAAAGAAAATCATGAAGACAGGTCCAATAATTGTCTTTAAATGAAATTCTTTCTTTGTAAGAAAGTATCATAAAATTTTAAAAATCTTGATTTTTTTGTGTTACATTGTATAAAATCATATAAACAAAATATAAATCAGCTCTATTTTTAAAGGAACATGTTCCTTCAATATAGCACATAAATAATATTTTAAAAGATATGGTTGCTAGTAAATACATACCATAATAATAGAATTTCTTGCTATATTTGGGTTAAAACTTGGTTTTATTTGCGGTGAGAAGAAATTCAAAATGTTTTCTTTGGAATGAATTTCCTTTATTAAGGGTTATGCAAATATTTTCTCAACGTGCTATTTGTAAAGTATAAATTACTTCCACTCTGTAAGCTTATGAAATGTTTAATGCTAGAATGCTTTTGTTTCAGATATATTTTTAGTATAGCTTACAAGGCATGTGCATGCATTTATTATCCATTCAATAAATACTCACAGAGTGCCCACTGTGTACCAAGCACTGGCTGTAAACCAGCGTATGTAGGTAAGATCTCAAGAAACACACAGTGGGTAGGAGAGAGAGACTTATACAAAAACAATGAGTAATAACTGTTAATTGTAGAGTGGAATGAACAGTGATTTTTTAAAAAT